AGATCATTGATTATATTATTTCGTGGGACAGCTGATCACCAGCGTCTTGCTTTACTCTCCCCCTTGCTCACCCAACACGATAAATCGATGTCAATTGTCATCCGTGTATAGGTTATTGTCGTAAGTCAGTCAGTGAATTGTTTTTTGTGTCACTTTTTTTCTGTTGCACGCGCCTTCGCTTGAATGTTAAATTGTCCGGCCGTTGTACGCCATAGTTTATTATTACTTGTTTATTGTACCCTTGTGCTCAAAGTTAACGTGCTCTTACATGCCACTAGTAATTGGGCCCTGACCATAACTAAATATCTTCATTGCCGTAGTCTATTCTCATCTGCCATTATGTACCTAGATTTACACTCTGACTCGTCATACTCAGATTTTCGACACCATTACCACAAGATATCATACAGTCCATTCATCATTATCAACAACGTCATCTATTCAGCTGAGTTTATATTATTTTTTAATGTTATTTATTGTTTGTTTTAATTGAGTTTAACTATTTTGTTTTATGCCGCTTCGCCGACCATTAGTATTTAAGAGCCCTCCCGTTACCCCTTAAATTTAAGATACTCTCTGAGGAATTTCTAATATATGTGATTATTTGTTATTTAATTATTGTCTACTTTCGTTTACTTATTGGATGTATAGCTAACCGTCATCTCCTAGGTGACCCACTCCCGCATCAATAATTAACGATTTAAACAGGCTTAAGGTAAATCGGCATACTAGTGCGGTGCATAACTAGCCGTCCTACAGTCTAGCTGCCTCGTACAAAACACCTACTATGATACGTTTGTAAAATATCTCTCATGTGTTAAAAAATTGAGTTATCAAAATTACATGAAAGATATTGCAGACAACGGTATATAATATTTTGCGCACAATAGATTTGTCCATTTTGACAAAAACACTTAAAAAACACTTAATAAAAAAAATTTAAGTAAAAACAAAAAAAAATGTTTTTTGTTTCATAGAAATGTTTAATATTTAAAGTTCAATTAGTCGTAATGAAATTTTATTAGTAGTGTTCATTCATCGAATATATTACCCTAGCCTATTTTTTACNATCGAATATATTACCCTAGCCTATTTTTTACGACTTGTTTAAAATAATTTTCTATTTTAGGAGTGTATGCTGAATCGTCTGAAATAGCTGCGGCAGCTGAATATTTAAAAACATCAATATACGTATATACAGATGACAATGGATGGAATTTTTTTAACAAAGATGACGTTTTTGGAAATGATAATGGTGAAAAATGTATATACTTGATTAATAAAGTAGAACATTTTATGCCTGTAGTAGATACTGTGAGTAAAGTATTAACAAAATTAAATAATTGTTATAATTGTTTTATAAAATAAAAATACCCCAATATTAATTATCAATTTGTATTAATTTCCAATATTTTTTGAGATACGAACAAATAAAAAAAAACGTGGTTTTTGTATATAAAGACTCATAAAAATTGTTATGTTTTTAATTATTCAAATGTGCACATAAAACATTAAGTACAAAACTATTAATTTGAAAAATATTAATGCAATTTTGACCTTGCTACATAACTTTGAAATAGAAGTAAAAATGAACGTTGGTTGCCAACTTAACGTGAACAGTATTGTACACATAGGGTATGTTCTACAAATCCTGAAATGTATTCGATTACAATGAAACAATTTTTGGAATATTTTAGTTATTATAAAATATAATATAAAATTTGTATGTTTAAACTGTAACTTTAAAATCATATGAATTCATGAAATCTAAAAATTTACGTAACGAATTAATAAGGAAAATTATTATTATCAAATAAAAATTAAATTAACATATTGCTTAACTGTTTGAAAAGAATGACTTAGATTAACAGTACTATGAAAACATAATTTCAATAATATATCGAACATAAAAGTGAAATAAAAAGAGGGTAGTTAGTACATTTGTAAGCGTGGAGGAACAAAAACAATTACTTTAACAATTATATAAGGTGTTCAGTAAGTAAGGAAATGGGTTTTTATTATTCTCGTTGTAACAATTGACCTGTTTCCTTATTTACTGGACACTCTGTATATTATACGAGACTTTGGAATGAGTTAGCTAGCATTTTTAAGGTTTTTGGTATTATTTAATAATTTCTAAGAGTAATAATTAAAAAGATCTTAATAAATCTTTTAACTTTAATTTATTAAAATTAATCGAAATTTTTTTTTTAGGATGGTGAATACTTATCTCTTTTTTTTGCCAGTTGATATTAAATGGCAAGAATCAAAGTGTAATGAATTGAATCTTCCTTTTAAAATAGTATCTTCCAAAAATATGTTTAATAAATACCTATCATTTCCGAAAACAGTAATGATTAAAGCAGTCTATAACAAAACAGTAGACGGAAATTGTTTATTCAGTTCACTATCTTATTGGATAACTGGTTCATTTGAATTTGGTCAAAAATTACGTAACAAAATTATTAATGTAAATAATTTATACTTGATTTAATAATATAATATCATGTTATAATCATATTTATAGTTAAGTAATTTTTTTATGTTTCTAGCAATTTACAATAATTTTGAAATAATGACTGAGAAATATAAAATGTTCATGCACCATGTAAATGGGTCATTAATATGACATAATAACTGTAAATAACTAATGTTATTATCGTCGAGTATTAATTATAAGTCGATCGCGGCACCGCGCCTTTTATCTCTAGTTATTTTCCTTTTAGGCCAATCAACAAAGGAAAAATAGCGGAAAAAATGCCAAACCAATTTTTTTTTTTTAATTTAAATTAAGATATGTATAATGACATACTAAAAGTCCTCATTGATTGGAATTGAGCTTTTTTTTACAGCCTTGCAAAAGTTAAAAAATATAAGAATTTTTAATTTTCTCAAAAAATATTTAACTTACAATAAAATTATCTTCTATTTTTTCATTTAAACAAATATTTTTCGAGTTCCATTATATTTAATATGAGTACTAAAATTTACTTTATATTTTTTTTATTTTACGGTTACTTTATATCATGTTATACTTACATTTGACACAATGTTACAAAATACATATGTGTGTATGTATGAGTTTATTTATTTATAGTATCATGAAAGTGTTGTGTATATTTGTGCAAAAGAGCGGTGGTGTTGACGAAAATGTAAGACGCAAGTTTAAGTAAGGGTGGTTGAAGTGGATAGATGTGTCTGGTGTCTTATACGATAAAAGAATTCCAATGAGGCTGAAAGGTAAATAAATGTTGAAGAAAGAAGAGATAGAGGAAGATCAAAAAAGAGATTGAGGGATGTTATTGAATACGATATAAGGACAGGTGATGTGAGCGTAGATGATGTGAGAGATCGTGTCAAGTGGAAATTTAGGAAAATGGTGGCCCACCGCAAGTAGTTGGGATTAAGACGAAGAAAAAGAAAAAGACACCAGAATTCCGGGAATATACAATTTAGCGTTTGATTGGGTTAAAACAATATAGCGTCAAATCAATTACCTACTCTATTGGTTGTATCCTAATATACACTACACTTTAATGATACAATAAATAAATAAACTCACACATACACACATATGCATTTATAACATTGTGTCTAATGTAAGTATAACATGATAAAAAGTAACCATAAAATGGAAAAAATGAAAAATAAATTTTAGTACTCATATTAATGTAATGAAACTCGAAAAATATTTATTAATATTGTCTTTTAAACAACTTGTGTACTGTTAAAAATTATATGAGTGTCCTACACTCCGATTGCCCACACTGTGGCAGAGATCAGACTAGCTAGTCGATAAATGGAGAGACACTTTATAGAACGCTTATAATTAGTTGGAGTATTAACTATGATATTATTGTGTTAGTACTCTGTCCAGCCAGGATGTGGCGCTTCAATAAGTAATAGAACACAATGCAATCTAGTCGTGTAACCTTTTAGTATGCTTATATATATAAATGTAGATAAAAAGAAATAAATAAACACCAATATTTTATATGTGTTAGAATATTTATATCACCAAAAGTATTCGACCGAAAATAAGATGTATAATATTATCAGTAATTACGAAAGAGGGTAAAAATAGTGCAGATTTTATATAGAATTGTAACTAAGAATGAAACATAAACTCACACACATTCACTTTTTGTATCTTGGTTGAGAATTCCAGAGAGCCGTAGAGATGCAGAGATAGAATAGCAAGGCGTCCCAGTGTCCGCTAGAGGGATGTTCAGAAACCGTGCATAACCACCGTAAGAGAAGCGAAGACTTAAAGGAATCGCCGTAAGAGAACCACTGTAAGAGAACCACCCGAATTTTGGGGAAAATGGCCTTTTTATAGCCCGCAAAACTGGTTTAGCGATCTCTGGTGAGATTCTTGAAATATTTTTTGCTGTATTTGATTGGTTAATGTGATAGAATCTTTTACATGGGCGTTTTATGGAATGCGTAAGAGGATGGTTAAATCTTGTGTAAGGGTATTATTTTATTATTCATCTTATCCACGGGGAAACACTGATTTGGTGATATATTTTATTAAATATAAGTATTAATTATTACATGTATTAAAATGTGATACTACAGTAACTAGAGAAGATACGAAGACTAGAGAACGGGCATATAGGAGGGAGTATAGGTATAGCGTCAATCGTGGATAAGATGAGAAAAATAGACTTAGATGGTTTGATCATGTTACGAGGAGAGAAGAATCGGAAACTATAAGAACAGTTATAGAAATGAATGTTGAAGAAAGAAGAGATAAAGGAAGACCAAAAAAGATATTGAGAGATGTTATTGAATGCGATATGAGGACAGATGATGTGAGTGTAGATGATGTGGGAGATCGTGTCAAGTGGAAGTTTAGGATAAGGGTGGCCGACCCCAAGTAGTTGGAATTAAGGCGAAGAAAAAGAAAAATATTACCAGAAATTCCGATGGCAAATGACATAATATTATTGTTGTTTGGGAATGTACAATTTAGCGTTTGGTTGGGTTTAAACTATATAACGTCAAATCAATTACCTACTCTATCGGTTGNCTTACTTAAACTTGCGTCTTACATTTTCGTCAACACCACCGCTCTTTTGCACAAATATACACAACACTTTCATGATACTATAAATAAATAAACTCATACATACACACATATGTATTTTGTAACATTGTGTCAAATGTAAGTATAACATGATATAAAGTAACCGTAAAATGGAAAAANTGTATCTTAATATACACAACACTTTCATGATACTATAAATAAATAAACTCATACATACACACATATGTATTTTGTAACATTGTAACATATAAAATAAATTTTAGTACTCATATTAAATGCAATGGAACTCGAAAAATATTTGTTTAAATGAAAAAATATAAGATAATTTTATTGTAAGTTAAATATTTTTTGAGAAAATTAAAAAAGCTTAAAATTAAAAAAAATTTGGTTGGGAATTTTTTCCGCCATTCACCAAAATTATTCCTTCATTGATTGGCCTATTTTCTTCTATATATTTATTATTTATTTATCTGTCATTTGTATGTCATATTATATTATTAAATTTATTATTGTTAACATACCCAGTATAAGAAAAAAATTGTTTTTCTTATTGTCGTCATTCTTGTTATTCAGCAAATTTTGCCTTAGTTGGTTATTTTACTTTGTTTTGATTTTCGTCTCGCTAACGTATTATTATTGGAATAATATGATGAGCGGTTTACTTTATCTTAATCTAATATTTTCCTTTCCATCTCTTTATTTATTATTTATTAATTTATCATTTGTATGTCATATTAATTTTTTTTTCGGCTCGCTATAGTATTATTTTTTGAATAATATGATGAGCGGTTTATTTTATCTTAATAATTTCATTATTGTTTTGAAATCTAATAACCACAAAGTAATTATTAAAAATATTAAATTATTAAAGCGAATAAAATCTCGAGTTTTTTCTATTGTGGTAAAACCCTATTGCTACGTTCTTTTTGTGTGCACTAACTTTCCTGGTCATCTTTAACAGTACTATTATAAATATGTAATTTTTAGTCCACTTACGATACTTGTGACGTGGAGAATACATTCAATCTATTTGTATAAGTCCAACATAGTCTATAGAGTCAGTATTCGCTTTGTAATATAATTTCATCTATCAATTCCTAATTTTAAAATTAGTTGTTATGGTGTATACTGAATGTTTAATTTTTAAGTATTTATCTTATGGTCATTGCACTAGACCAGACCGACCATAAGCGCGCCTGGAATTAAGTGAATTTTATTTCCTTCATTTCGTGTACAAAAATAAACTCTTTCCCTTTCATTCTCTAATTATTCTCTTTTGTATATAAATAAATTTTTCCTCTGAGTTGGTCTGTGCGTCGATTAATCATGCTATAAGGACGTTCGTATATTAGATTGCCTACCCTTTTAAAATTTTAAGGCACTGAATATTTTGTTTTTTCTTAGTTTAGTTTAGTTTTAGTTGTTATAGAGGTGAGCAAGAACTGCCCATGAACTTAGACTTGTAGGTTCACTGTGCGTACCTCCTACCGAATTATATTAATACGGTTTCTTTATACAAGTGTTTCCACCGAAGTTACTTTCTTCTTAATATTAAATTTGTTTTCTATTTAATTGTTTTATAGACAAAACATTTGGCACCTATTGAAGAGAAGTCTGAAATAGCTGCGGCAGCAAAATATTTAAAAACACCAATATGCGTATACGCAGATGACGATGGATGGAAATTATTCAATAAAAATTTTGTTTTTGAAAATGAAAAATTTATATACTTGATTTATGATAAAGAGCAGTACACGCCTGTAATAAATGTAGTGAGTAAACTATTATAAAAATTACATTATTGTTATACTTGTTTTATAAAATAAAAATACTCAAGTATTAATTATCAATTTATTATTATATGATCACACATAATTTCGACACTGGCAGGGTTGGATTTAGGGGAGGGCTGAATGGACTGCAGCCCAGAGGCCCCCACAAATTTGGTATACATTGGTATCACAAATATGATAATAATTGTTATTTAATAAGTAAAAAATATATTTCCTTGTTTATGTATAAGGGGCCCCATAATGCATTCCGCCCAGGAGTCACCACATACCTAAGTCCGCTCCTGGACAGTGGGATCTAGAACAATAGACACACTTATATATACGCATTCACAAGAGTAAATGTGCTCCTATTATCTACTATCTATTTAAAAGTTTCGTTAAAAGTTAGTTTAATGTTTCCTACTATAGATTAAATATTACTTATGGATAATGAAAATTATTGTACAAATATAATGATATTTCATATTGAAAGGTTACAAAGAATAGATTATTTTTTGGCCTCGACGGAATTTTTCGTTACTTCCATGGCGATTAGAAAAATTTAAATCAGCAATCACCAACCAATTTTACGAAATATCGCAATGAGCAAGAGCAGGACCAAAATATGATTTAAAAAAAGATAAGAAAAAAAATATTTCAAGTTTTCAGATTATTTTATTAGTCATTAATAAACTAGGCAAAATTACTCTTATTAACCATGTAAAACTAAATATTAAGTATAGAAAATTGTAGACTTATAAATAAAATAAAGTTGATGATTGTTAAGTCATTGGCAACTGACGTATACCAAAATTTCATGATAAAGTTGACATTTTACCATGTTTAGATGAGATGACTTCACAAATACCATATATCCTAGAGGAAGATGATTTTTTAAAGCTAATAAAAAGAAAATACACGAGTCCGTTAAACGCGTCCAGGAACGCCCAAGAATAAGAGTTTATGATTTGGTTAAATGATATGGATTTTATTTAATAAAAAAAACAGTTAAGTTATGTCTAGTAATCGGCTTGGCTTAGCACAGTGATCTGTAAGAGAATTTTAGGCACTCATAAGTTCCATTTTGAATGTACTCATAATATTGAAAAAATTATGAAAACTCAATTCTAGTATATTGCTTAGAGAAAATATAAAATTTCAAGGTCACATGTTCATCCGGTCGTTATTTATAGCCATTTGAAGTATAGATTATATTACGGTTATTATAACACAAAAAAGGTCTTTCGTTGTCAACTTTTTTAACAAGTTAAATTTTTTTTTTTCGAAATTTTTATTTTATTTTATAAGTAAAGATCAAAGATGTTAAAAAAATTATTTTGAAAAAATTATTTTTTGACCAGAGTATTTTTTAAGTCATTTTTAAAATTAAAAGCGCTATACTAAAAAATACCCTGTTTTACGCATGTATCGGTGCATGGATATTGTAAAGTAAGTATTCTATATTTTAAAAATATAATTTTTTTTGCGGCAGACAAAAATAGCTGTGCATAGGACTAATAAGATTATCTTAATTTGTACATTTTTTATTTACAATTAGTTTTCATTTATTTCGATTTCTGACATTGAATAGTTTAAGTTATTTATTTCATCTTCGACGTTCGTTTCGGAAATGACAAATAAATTTAGCACATCGATAGAAAATTTATTTATATAATTTTTTTGAAAATAATTTCATTGATCATATGTATGAATCACTTGATACTAATATCAAATGCATCAAATCTTCATTGGTATTATACCTCGAACTTTTTCTAGTGTGGTAAAGTCTTATTTTTTTATAGTCTTTGTTTCTGGCTTGTATTACATGGTAAATTAAAGTTACATATATAATATAAAACTTAAGCTGTAAGTAATAATAATTTTTTTTACTAAATATACTAATTCAATATATTAAGAAAAGGCAATTCAAACAATGGAAACACATGCATTAATTTGCATTATTTGCTGACTCTCCTATTTTCTACAATTTTTGTTAACGTTGTCATGATTATAATAAAATGTTAAAGGTTTTACAACAGTTAACACTAGGCCAAAAATATAATTTGCAAATTAAAGGGATCAGAAAAAGTGTACAACCACAACTTTTACTTATGAGAATGCGACATAACCCTTTCCGTGCGACCGCCTAGCGTCAAACATGGCTACCACTATTCTAGCTGGCCATATGTCCTATGCTAACCAACTATTTGTTAAAAGTTAGGTCATCATTTGTAAGACACAACGGATTAGAGAACGTAATATTTTTGTTCATTAAATAAACAAAAGAAATATTAAATTTAAATGAAATTCTCTGTAAATCGTAAAGTTTAACTTTTTAAATCGTGTCCAGTTTTACATATTAAACATCTAATACAAGTATATTTCATTCATAAATATACTACTGAAACAAAAAATTAAATAATTTTATATCTATTATAAATCTGGCAGTTAGAGTGAAATGTACGAGGGTTAAAGGGCAAAATTTCATTGTGGTACGATTTAATTGAATTATCAGCGTTTTTAATTGTCCTTTAATTTAATTATTGTTTAATTTTATTACTTAAAATGTAGAACTTTGAATCAAACATGAAAATTTTGTATCAATTTTTACAGAATTGTTTAAGCATAACATCTGATTGTACATCTTAAGTATGTATAATGGTATTTATTTAATTATAACTAATAAATAAAACTGTTTTAGTTAATGATAATCTATGATTGTAATTATTCATGTTTAGTCTTCATTGTTATAAAAATAAATAAAAACTAATTAAATATATATTTTTTTGTAATTTTAATTTTTAAAAATTAATAATTTCTTTAGTCTTAAGCTTGTGCAAAAACTGCACATCGTCGGTTGAGTTTCAATCAATACTTTTATTGTTTTAACATATAACTTTTTGAATAAAATAACAGATTAAAAAAAAAAAATACAGCAATAATGAGTTTACAGCAGTTACGTACCTAAGAAGATATGTTGCGAGCGAGTTAGGAGATGGTTTATTATCATTTTGTAGGATCAAAAATCCTAGCTTGTTAGGTCAACTTTTGGTACTTTATATGCATGATTGTGCAATAAATTTAAAATATCCCTTACTTTAGACGTTGTGTTATTATATGTGGATCACCTTACATACAAGATGTCCATGATTCAAATTCGAAACTATCCTTCTACGAATATAGTTCTAAGTATCCTAGTTAGCACTCTTCTAAGTTTTTATTTATATAGTCTAATACGTACCCTACTGAGTACCTTCTAAGTAACCTATTACTAGGGTCAGGACCTCATGAATTTATAAAAGTTATTTGGACCACTTCTTAGACACCTAACTAGATGGAAATTTGTTCAGGTGAAACTTTTTTACAAAGGGTCTGGAAAAAAAGATTATGTCTCATCACGGTTAGCCGTTACGAACAGATTTCATTGTTATATTATACGTTTGTCGAATATAAAAATTTTAACCGTATACCTAACAAAACAACAGAATCCGTTCGTAGTTCGTTTCTTGTAAATTATTATAAATTAATTAGTAATTATATTATTTACTTGTAAATAATTATGCAAATTTATTGTTTAAAAAAATATGTTAAAGTTTTTTGGTTTTAATCATTAAGAATTAGGCTTTGAGGCAGCACGTTTATGGGCTGAAAGATTTCCTAATCGTAGGATTCCTGATAGACGGTCTTTTGAGAATACTGTACGACGTTTAAGGGAAACAGGAATTTATCATGTATTTCTCATTATTAAAATGAATTTAATTAAATAATAACTTAAATTTTAATATACTTTTTTGTGAAAAATAATTACGATCGTAGATTATCCGTCTATTGTTTAGAATGTGTTACAACGACTCTTCTTCTGTCATTTTGTTTTTAATGTTATTAGGTATATTAATTAAAAAAAAAAAATTTGACCTCTGGACTTGTCTTCATAGTGAAAATGACTGCCGTATGCAAAAATATGCTATTTTTGTGTTAAAATTCTGGGTTTTATATTTTATTTTATTTTAAAATACCTGATTTGAAGTCGAGAAAAATAACTTTGAAATTTGAACTAGCTTAAATAGCCAATTTTTTTAGCCGACGGTAGCGACGTACGGTTGCCGAGTTGGTAAAACTTGTGTTTTACACGCTTGGGGTACAGGGTTCCAACCCGCGAGTGGCAATGAATTTCTTCTTAATTTTTTTTAAGTTAGAATAAATTTTCAACTGCTTTGATTATTATCTCATTTAGATTCAATAACTTTAATAAAGATCAAGGATCCCATCACTGAAGTCGTCACTCGCGAGAAGAAATTTTGTATTCATATTAAAATTATTTTACTATATTTTAAGTTTTAGCTTCGATGCAAAGCTGAGAAGATATTTTTTTTGTGACTATCATTTATTTTCTCTGCTCAAACTTGACCTACTTTTTTCAACGATACGTCAAATGACTACAATTCGTATCTAGTTGAAGATATTACCCTCAAAAATTGAAAAAAAATTATAATTTATCAATTAAACAGTTAGTTATTACATGTTCTCCATAAAGACAATTAAAATCATTAATTTTTAATGTTTTCAAAATATTTATTAACGAATGAAGTTTGATATAATTTTACTTTGTAATTTAATATTTTTTTTACTCTATTTGTGTGTGCTACTACTAGACTATAATATTACAAATTTTTTGGTAACATGTTGCTATATATATAATTTCTAAAAAAAATTATTGTTAGTTTCTCCTGAATTAATAATGGATTTTTACAATTATAATCAAATTTTATTATATGCTCAATTGTGTAAATCTTTTTAACAACTTTGTTTTAATTAAGTTATGAATATTTCAATTGCAGAATCTTTTCAAACACCAAAAGTTACTAGGAAATTATTACTATAACTTCTATTTAAGTGTTCTATTAAGATAAAAATGCAAAAAAATATTGAGCTTTTCAGATAAATTTACAATAAATAGTAATTATAAAATTTCCTGACTGCACATTAATCTTAAAAATACTATTGTTTTAATTTTCATAAAAATTTTTTTTTTATGATGCCAATTTCAAACTTGCCAATTGAGCTAAAAGTTATGGTAAAACAAATTATTTTTTTTTATTATAAATATTTACAAAAATCAACTTAATGATTAAAAAAATAGGTTAAATATGTAATTTTCATTATTTTAAAATATTAAAAATCAAAATCAGTATTAATTTAAAACAATTTTATTTTGTTCTTAATTATTTTTTTTTATATGTAAATTCTTATTTTTTAATAATATTAAAACTTAGAAGTGATAGAAAAAGTCTAATTGCACATTTGAAAACATCGCGAAAAGTTGATTTAGAAAAGTATATTTTTGCTTCTGATGAAAGTTTCTTGTAGTCCAGTGCATTTATTCATAAGTAACAAAAATTTTTATTAAAAAGTATTGCATCAATCTCTTTAAGCTTTTATACACGTTAAAAGTAAAGGAATATACAACTACTTAATTATTTTTATAATTTCTCCGTATAAATTGCAATAATAGAATATTGAATATCACTTTCATACTAAATTTAATAACTATAATTAGTATTTATTCATGCATTATATTTTAAAATCAAAGAAATACTAATCAGGATATAATTAAAGACATAAGAGTTGATGATGCTTTTGGAATAATCCACCAATTTCTCTAAATGAAACACTATCTACAGATTTGTATCGAAGCGTTTCTTATGATAGTGATCACTGTGAGATATCATCTATACTTATCCCATCTATGCCTCGTCCACAATGTGCCTCGACCTCACTGTTCTACCGTTTTTTTTTACTTTAAGATGCTATAACTTTTTAAAAACTTTATGAATCAATACAATATGAAATAATATTTATATATATATTTCATTCGATATACTTTTTATTTAAATCGAACCATTTCCTTTAATACAGGGAGGATTCAAAACTTAAAAATGCAAATAGAAAAAGGAACTTTTTCAATTAATTTTTGAAAATGTTCCGGAAATACTGACACTTTTATATATATCTTAAACTAAAGCGTATGTAATATACTTTATTATGGAAAAAAAAAATTCTAATCTTTTAATTAATCTCATTGTGTTAACCCTAATATTATGTGTAAAAAAATCAGTACATGGGGGTCGCGGCACAGTGGTGACGTGACATAGTTGGATCAAGTATAATGATATCTGGCAGTGATTAAAATCACTATCATAAAAAACGCTTCAAATCATTCGATAGTGTTTAATTTTAAAAAATTGGGGGATTATTAAAAAGCTACATAATGTGCTATTTCCTTATTAATATCCAGATTAAGATAAAGTATGTAAGAATAAAAATGTGTAAAAAAAAATATACAAAATGATAGGTAAATAACTAATATATCTATATAAAAAAAATTATATCAATTTTGTCATTTTTAAAAAAGTTTTGGCAATTTTAAGTAAAAAAATTTTTAAAAATTAGCGATTTTTAAATTTATAATTTTTTTGGAGATTTCTCCCATTTACAAGGAACAAGGAAAAATTTTTCTATTTTTGTGGGTAAATTTTTCGACTAGATACGATTTGTGATCGTTTTAAATATGTTTCATCAAAATCGGTTCAGCGAGAGCTGAGATTGAGCGTATATAGACACAAAAAGAAAACACATCATAGTAAAATTAATACCTTTTCACCTTCGCATCGAAGCTGAAAACTATATTAATGTTGTATTAAATCCGTAATAATTTCTATATTTTATGCTTACTTATTAATAAACAATAATATTGTAAGAACGAGACAATGATGATTTATGGGGCATACAAAGTATTGTAAAAAGGCAGAATTAACCCTTACTAATCGTTCACTAGATAACAATACGCGTACATTCTGATCATCATTGTCGAAAATTTTACGCATATTAAAGTAATGAAGTAAATTGAATTGTAACATTTTATTCATCAATCATTCGTTAATACTATCACTATTATTAAGAACCAAGAAATCATCATGTAAGACTTCAAATCTATAAGAGTTAATATTAATATTATTTTATAACCATCGACTCACATCCCGAATTAAAGTAACTCTCACTTTTATTCAACATATCTTTCAGTTTTATTACATTTTAATATTTTATTAGTTAGTTCTAAACCAAAAAAATATTCAACTTTTTTTCTATTTTATTAAGTTTTGAGTTACGATAATACAGGTCAAGCCTATAATAGAATTAAAAAATTACAATATAAATCCAAGACATACGGTCAAAGATAAACATGGCAAAATTCTGTTTGAAAATGAAAAGGTAGTACAAAGGTGTAAAATGTACATTGAAGAATTATATGAGGGAAAAGAGGAGATTGAAAATGGAGAGGAATATTTAGAAAATTAAATAGATGCAAATGAAGATAAAACAGGACCCGAAATATAGATATATGAATATTGTTCTCCTTCGTTTTTATAATGGGTGTTATTGCTAAAAGTGCAGTACTTAGTGTGTAAAATGTATTTTAAAAAGACATGTTTTTACTCACCGAAATTGGCTGTATAACGTCCTCTTAAGGCAATAATATTATCAAGAGTGACCGCGTATTATCCATTGTTCTTGTTGTCGGTGCGCCCACTACATTGTAGTAAAGTGACTCTTCGTCAACAGGGGGCCCCGCGGTCGGATAACGTGACAACATGTCCGGTCCTTCGTTGTGTTTCCCGGATACATGTGTCGTTGTAAATTTCAAATTACCTAGATATAGCGCCCACCTAGTTAATTTTGAATTGATGTCCTTTGCTCTGTGTAGCCAAGTCAACGCGGAATTATCTGTAAATAATTCGAACGGAGAATACTCTAAATACGGGCGAAATTTATCAGTCGCCCATATAATTGCTAGGCATTCTCGTTCTACGGCGGCGTAACGTTTCTGCGTTTCGGAAAGTTTCTTACTTGCGTAGGATATGATTCTTCTCTCTCCCGGTTCATCTCCGTGTTAAAAGAGTATTGTGCCCACGCCCATTCTACTTGCATCGGTTTGAAGGCAGAAAGTTATTGCGGCGCTATTGTTTCGGCATAGTTGTCGACGAATTGACAATATCAATTAAATATGCCGAGATCTCTACGTAGATCCCTCATATTCCGCGAGACCGATAGGACGCGTATAGACTCGTTGTTTATGAACAATAAATTCAGTTAACGTTTGTCGGAGGCCCTGTCGCCTCGTTTTTAAGTCCGTCTTGAGCGCAGTCCTGATATCGATACTGTCGAACTCCTCGAGTAATTCGGACCTAAATTCCGCCCATGGCATATTGTTTAATTTAATCGCTCGCCACCAATCACCTGCCTTGTCGTTCAGAAACGGGACGATGATGTTCACCCACGCGGTTGGGTGTATACCGCCCTGGCAGAGTAGATCCTCCGCTCTGTCTAGAAACTCCCGTGGGTCCTCTTTGTTTCTCCCGTAATATTCAGGTAAGCAGGCGCGTACGGTGCGTAGGTCGTGGTAACGTACGAATACCGACCGCGAGCTACGGGTAGGCGACAAATCATTGAAAGACCGACGACCGTCGGTTGTGCTGAATTTCCCCTCCCTTGGTGGGCGCGTAAACGAATAATCGGTCGGCTCGTTCTCATATGTATGAGTGCGCCAATAATGTTCGTCTTGCCAACCCGTGCTACACATCCGTGGTAGCGACGCGTGCGACGCTTGTTCGTACGACCATCTCATGTTGCGGGCTTCTTGCGCTTCGATGTCCGCGAGGCGTTCGTGTAGTGTTGCGTCGTGTCGCGTCGAGTCCGTCGCTCCCGATGGACCGAATGTAACGCGATGCGCGTCCGCTAATCGACTATCATTTCACTCTACGTTAGCTTGACGAATAGTCGGTTGTACAGCAACATGTGGGGACGGCAGCATATTTTTACTGATTCGCTCAAGCATGTTTGAAATCTGTCGCTGTTCCATTGACATACGCGACAGCGACCTTTCTAATTCAGTTATCCGTGCCTCGATCCGTGCATTATTCAAAATTTTAAGAATGTTCTGTCGGATCGCCCCGACTTGTTCTGCTGCTTGTGCTATCGATCGGGCAACGTATACGTCCTCAACGTATGGCACGCCTAGTTTTCCGCTTGCGCGCATTATTTTTCCCGGTTGATCGACATCAGATTCGTCGACTGATGTACGTAGCGCTAGGTTCATCGGATGTTCCTCCGGTAAAGGCGCTACGCCGGGCAGCTGATAGTTCGTGTTGAGTTCGCTGATACGGTCCGTGGAGTTGTCGAAAACCCCTACTTGGTGTTCGCGGACCGGAATTTCGCTATCGAGCTATCGGGTAAAATTTCGGTAGCTGGATTCCTCCCTTCGCTACGTATGTTTTCTTCTAGCACAATTTGCATGTTGGGTTTCGTCGCGTAGCATGGTAGCTGTCTAAAAGCGCATTCGTGACGTAATTCAGCGCAATTTATTTGTGCTAATGATTTCCCCGACATATTGACCGTGAATATTATGTTTATTTACAAATCTTAATAATCAAATGTATGCTACTTTAATAGCGGAGATAAACAATATCTCCGTGTACGGTCAAATTTGCTACTGCAGTAGAAAACAAGTGTTATTATTATTGCTATTGTTGTAATAAAGTACCGCGATAAGATAGTACGCGGCCGCCCTATATTATATGGCAGCGAGTGAACAATAATATTAACGGTTACCTGGGAATCGGCCGCTTTGACAAGGTCAGACGAAAATATACTATTTTTATCTACCAAAAGACTGTAACTATCAGCCGGAAATTCACTTCTTGTCGATATCAATAAGGTCTTTATAACAAACTGTAACCAACACTTTTAAACGACAATACTTACGCGGATTATATTAGATAAACTGCTCTCACTTTATTTTTTATAAAAGAAAATTTTCCCAGAGACCAGACTAAATCTAATCCCGCTAACACGTAACTGTGAATGACCCAGGTAAAAATTCACTGCTGTCACCAGTGAAATTCGTTCAAATAACTATATGAACTATCAAATTTGTAAGGGAGACTTCACCGTTTCATGTTAAAACTAAAATCAATAGTATGAGCCAGCAATAGTATGGACGCACAAGTTGTTACAATTAAATGTGTTTCACAACGAACGGAAAACGGAACTAGGTGACACACAAAAAGAAAACGCAATAGCCACCTTAGTAAAGACTATGTTATCTTAGACACACTTATTTTTGTCTACTGCCGTCATGTATACTCACGGCTCTGTATAAGTATATATCTATCTAGTTAACACGTCAACAAAAATAAAATTAAGTCACACAATAGAACTTGCACTTCAGTGGAAAAATCACATAAAAATGATCAAACCGCTAAGGTCAGCGTTGGGAGCGAAACAGAATACAATATCCGTAATCCATACTCGGCGGCGGCCTTATTTCGGTGTCAAGGGCGGGGAGACAACCGATTGTCATATTGATAGCTGGACGGCTGATATCGCGAGAAACACGGGTGAGCGCCAGCCTAGTGCGACGGGCGGTGCCGTGTCAAGTCTCTAAATTCTTCTTTTTTAAATTTTTTTTTGTTCAAATTGTTTTATGCATAGAAATTTCATCATCTACAAATAACGAGAAAAATCAACTTTCCTCATTTCATATTTATTTATAAATCTCCCTAGTGCTCCCCTAGTTTGAGTAACTTTTAAAATTTCCAATACTTTTTATTCGTAATAATTTTTTTGGTTTTGTTATAAAACATTTTTTAATTTGTTGATTTCAAAGTTAAAATTAGAACCTAACGTCGTAAAACAACAATATTATATTGTAAAAATGACATATGTGCAGTAAAAAATAAATTTATGTGTCCATTAAAATTGTTTTCGAAAATTTCATCATTGTTTGAATAATATAACATTAAATACTTAAAAAAAAAAAAAAATTTGAAAACATTATGTATTTTTTAAATCCAAAATGATCATTTTCCCCCAAGCGTTAACTTGCCTGTATTTCCCTAATTTTTAAGTTTAATATGTAAATAATTAGTAAATACTAAATACACAATTAAATTGTGTTAAAATGTTTTTCAATAAATCAGAGCATATATTCGAAATATATTGTTTTTAACATTATAATTATTGATTTAAATTTAATAACTGTATTTACACCAATATAAAAATAAATCTAATAAATTCATAATAACGATTAAAAATAGAAGTAAATTTCAAGATTTTTTACTTCAAGTGTGGTGAAATAAAATTTTATTAATCAAATAATTAATTTTTTTTAAAATTTAATAATGGCATAATATATGACATTTGAACAGCTAAACAAAATTTTAATTTAAAATAGAGTTACAATGAATATTATTTTTAAACATAGCATTAGAAAAATTTAATGTTACATAGTTTTCATTTGTTTAAACTATTTTCAAGATATGCCGTTATCAACATATAATATTTTATTAAAATTAATTTATTTTATTTTTTTGATTTCTAACGTTTATTGCCTTAAAAGTAACGAATCAGAATCAGTAAGTATACTATCTTCATTATTAAAATAACATAGAATTTGGAATTGCATTTTTAGTTAATAATACTGTTATACATGACTATAAAAAATATATATGTGTATTTTTGTTAACTTTCTGTTGTTTTTATTAATACAATATAGCTTGTTATAATATTATAAACTTTAAATTGAAAATTTGATCAAATCACAGGTTTAATCTGATTTTTTATAGATTTAGGTTTAGTGAATTGATTTTGTTCAAAACAGTTTATTATAATTTTACATTAGAACAATCATCACAAGAAGTTATGGCAGTCTAAAAGACACTATGTACGCTATATAGCAAAAACATATTAGTTCTTAGTGATTTTGTTTAAAATTGAAATTTTCAGAATTGAATCTTAGTATTTAATTGAATAAAATAAAAACTACATTAAAAGTATTATTAATATAAAAACTAAAAAATATTAAAAATATTTAACTCAAAAGCCACAAAAAATTACTGAAAATTCGCGGATACGTATTTCGTAAACAATGTTACCATTATCAACGCTAAACACAATATTTTTTATTAGTATTTTTCTCAGATATCTTCTACTTATTTTTCCTTGCCTTTATCCTAAGTACTTGAGATACGCTAACTTATCCTAAACTTCTACTTAACACGATCTCCCACATCAAATACGTACATATCAGCCATCATTTAGTTCTCAGAAATTATTTTATAAATTATATTGATAATTTATTTTTCAAGAACTAAAACAAATATAATTAGTTTAAAATTAAGTTTAAATTTAAAAATCTCATGTTATGTACTATAAGCTAAAATAATGATAGCATAGTGGGGTTGCGGCATATTATGGGCATAGGATATTTGGGACATGTATAGATGATATCTGACAGTGATTAAAATCACTATCATTAAAACACTTCGATGCAAATCTGTAAATAGTGTTTACAAAAGCAACATCAACTCCTATTTCCTTAATTATATAATGATTAGTAGGTTTTAGATTTAAAAGTATAATTTATAAATAAATATTTATTATAGCAATTCAATTAGTATAAGATTGATATTAAATAATTTAGTATTATAATTTTTTGGAGATTTTATAAAAAATATAAAATATTTATTACTTTTATAGCAAACGTTTGTCATAAAAGTTGAATTAAAAGGTTTGATACAATACTTTATTAAAAAATTATTTTTTACTTATGAATAAATATATTGGTCTACAAGGAACTTTCTCTGGAATCAAAAATATACTTTTCAACATCAACTTTTCGCACTATTTTTAAATATGAAATTAGACCTTTTCTATCACTTCAAAGTTTTGATATTATTATTAATTTTTAAAAATTATTATACCAGTAATTTTGATGGCTAGTCGTTCTCTCCACCCCATCGTCGATACAATTTCCACTTCGAATGGGGATTCTTCTTTTTCTTCTATTTCCAATAATCAGTCTCCACAAACTGACATAAAATTATTTAATACAAACTGTACAGTATTGTTAGATTCTGGTGCTACATGTTCTGCTACATCTGAAGAAATTTTTATAACTCTTAGTCGTGAAGTTACCGACGCTAAATTATTACCTATATTACCCATTACTGAAGTTACCGTCTCAACAGCTGTTATTGGAAGGAACAAGAAGGTCCACAATTAAGTTATATTGTTTTTTGCTATAAAAAATTATCTCTTTGATTGTATTTGTCTTGTTGTCTCCCAATTGTCTCTACCTATTATCTTTGGTGAAGATTTTTTGTGCAAATATTTTGTTGTTTTAGATTATCATCATCATATAATTAAATTCATGTCATTGGACATTGAAATTTTCTGCNCATTGGACATTGAATTACCATTTAAATCTTCTGTTTTACTCAATAAGAATAAGTCTAATTTGTCTTCAATCAAATTACATGTTTTACCGTCTTCTGTATATTTTTCTGAGTCTGAACAAATTGACTCTGCAATTCAGACAATGTCTCATTTTACACCATCTAATAAAAAGTCCACAGTTTCTATTTTCTCAATGTCATCATCAAATACACTTAGTAATGAAGAAATTCTCAAAGAAGTTGATTCTGTTCAAAATATAAATTCATCTCTACGTTTAAAGTTATTTAACATACTGTGTAAATATCGCTATGTTTTTAATGACCGACCTGGTTTGAATATTTTATATACAGGCAAAATTGATGTCATCAAAGACGAACCATTTAAAGTCAAACCATATCCAATACCCTTTTCACAACGTCCCGCCGTTGAGAAAGAACTCGAACGTATGTTGGAATGGGGGGTCATAGAACGAAGCTCATCACCGTATGCCAACCCTATTATCTGCGTAAAGAAACCAGATGGATCTGTTCGATTATGTTTGAATGGCCGGCGTATAAACAAACTTATCTTACCAATGCGTGATTCATCACCGCCGATTGAAGAAATACTCGCACGATTTTATGGAAAAATGTTTTTCTCTTTGATTGATTTCTCCTCAGGATATTGGCAAGTTGGACTTCATCCATCCGTTCGCAAATATGTCTCCTTTGTATATAATGGACAAACGTATTCTTTCACTAGAGTCCCATTTGGTTTGAATATTTCAAATACCGCTTTTGGAAAAGCTTTAGAAGCTACGTTAGGATGTGGTTCTTTTGATACATTTGAAGGAAGTTCTAGTGACATTCAGTCATATGTGGACGATGTACTAGTCTCTACTGCTTCTTTTGAAGACCACCTGGAAAGATTAGCCGAACTTTTTAATAAAGTACATGAATCTGGCATGACCTTAAAGTTATCAAAATGTAATTTTTTCAAAAACGAGATTAAGTTTTTAGGTCACATTATTACACCTCAGGGTATGACCATGGATAATTCTAAGTTAGAAGCTGTAAAAGACTACCCTATACCTCATAATAAAAAGGAATTACAATCATTTATTGGATTTTGTAATTTTTATCGAAAGTTCCTTGACCATCACGCCTCTCTAATGCGTCCGTTAACTGAGCTAATATCTTCACCATCATGGAAATTCACTGAAGAACACCGGAAACAATTTGAACTTATAAAATCGTCATTTGTCAATGTCGTCCTAGTACATCCAGATTTTAATTCTGAGTTCTATATTCAAACTGACGCATCCAAACTCGGTTTAGGTGTTGAACTGTTTCAAACAGACATATTTGGTAATCGGAATACCATTGCATTTGCAAGTCGTGTTTTAAACTCTGCGTAACAGAGTTATTCTATCACGAAATGGAATTACTGTCAATAGTTTTTGCTTGTACAAAATTTCGAATTTTTTTGCTAGGACATCATGTAAATGTCATAATAGATCATCAAGCTCTAGTATTTTTGTTTAGATGTAGACTTCGCAATGCTCGTTTAACCCGTTGGACTCTTTTATTACAAGAATTCGATTTACACATTCAATATTGTCCAGGAAATCTGAATATTGTTGATGCTCTATCACGTAGTCCTATTGGTAGGGATGATATGATTGTAGAACCTATGCCCCGTCTTATGACTCTTAAAATTCAAGTGCCACCTCAACTTCCTGACAACATTAAAAATATGTTACACTCTATTGGAATTGACCAGAGAGCTGATTCTAAACTATTGAACGTTATAAAGAAGTTATCGATGTCACCAGTTCCAGTTATATTGTTTAAATTTTATATTATTTATAATAACATTTTATTTCGCCGTCGATCACACTCAAGTGACGATTGGTTAATTTGTTTACCATCTAAATGTGTTTTGTCTACTGTTTTATCTATCCATGAGATGTACGGTCACGTCGGATCAAAGAAATGTATAAGTGCCCTCAAAGAATTCTGTATTTTTTCAAATATGGACCGTAAAGTCCGTCATATATTGTCATCATGTGATATATGTCAACGTACTAAACATCAAACTAAAAGAAATGAAGGTCTTATGCAAAGTATAATTGCCGAGTTTCCTCTTCAACGTGTTCTTGTCAACCATTTATATGGTCCTCTACCTATTGGTTGGAATGGCGTATCATACATATTTGTTGTTCTGGATTATTTTACACGTTTTGTTCGACTGTATCCTTTAAAGAAAACTACTGCGTTAGCTATGATCAATCGAATGACTAATGATTATATTGCTACTTATGGAAAGCCGCAGGTTGTAGTGTCAGATCACGCAAAACAATTTGGCAGCCGAATTTAGCAATCACGTTTGATTGAATTAGGCATTTCACCAACCCACACAAATGTGTACCATCCACAATCGATTCCATCAGAAAGAGTTATGCGTGAGTTGGGTCGATTTTTTAGAACATATTGTCATGAATATCACTCTAATTGGCCACGATATGTCCCCTATATTGAATGGGTAATTAACAATACTCTTCACGAAGTTACTGGATTTACACCAAACGAATTGATTTGCCGTGATATAAAATCATCTCCTATAAAGAAAATAATACAGTTTCCTCCAGGTTCAGACTTATCCAGAGAACAGAAATATATAATGGGCCGTGAAATGCAATTGTCCAAATCAAATCAACGAAAACTGCGTCACGATCGTGGTGGCCCTGCTATTTTCTTTGAAATAGGAGATTTAGTCCTCGTTCGTTCTCATAAACTTAGTTCTAGTGTGGACCGAATGATCAGCAAATTTTTTTTATTGTACGAAGGACCATTTGTAGTTACTGATGTTAAATATCAAAATGCATATGTTGTGAACGATCCAGATACGGGAAAACTTCGGGGTACATTTAATGTGATCTTTCTCAAAAAGTACTTGTCTCCAATGTCTACGTCTAGTCTATAAAATTGATTCTATTTTTAAATTAAAATTTTTTTTATTCAATTCTTAATAATAATTTCATATGATTTCATAATCTCACAATGTATATTTGATTGATTTATTTTCAATTTATTTTGTTTTATTCTCTTTATTCTATTTTAATTTTGTTTTTCATGTTTTGTTTGAAGGTTGTGGTCCACTTTGATTGTTTGTTTTCTCTTTTTGAGAAGATTTGTCA